ATTGGATTGAGGGATTACTATAATTAAAAAAAAAACATAAATATATAAACGTGCCCACCAGTTTATATAGGAGAGAACCAAATTCCTCAGCCAAACACAGTACGTTTACCTTGGACTAATATTCGACAGAAGGATGACCTGGGGTCCACACGTAAAAATGAAAAGACAGACTTGAAACAAGCGACTGAAAATACTGTACTCACTTTTTTCCAAATCAAAATTGAAAATCACACAAAAACTAAATACATACACTTACCTACCCAAACCCATCTGGATATACGCTTCCCATATTTACGGTTCGGCAAAAAACACGTAATTACAAAAACTACAGTAATTTCAATCCAAAATTTTACGACTTGTAACAGGAGCTCCCTGGTACGTCAACAACAAAACATTACACGACTTACAACAACTAACTATAGACCAGCGTACTCTCTACTCTCGTTTTCATCCTAAGCTACAAGGACAAATAAACAGACTTATAAACGACATGGCCAAGACTGACATGCCCATCAGGAGGAGACTAAAAAGGAGCTGGATGAGAGATCTCCTCACTTAAATCGAGGAAGGAAATAATGACCAGGAAGAGGTGCTGCTGGGTACTATCCTTCCTTATACCTATAAAGTCTATCCTTATTTTATTACAACACATCTGTTGATTGTCAATACCATGACAGGTGCGGTTACATACTTAAAGAGGAAAAAAATTATATTCAATACAATAACAGACTAACAAATACAATAATGATAAAATCACAGACTCTACAATACCACCTAACAAAATTAAATATATAAACATTTTTGTAGATTTTGACGTCTACTAAATTTGATGCCTTCTAAATATTTTCATCTACTCACAGGACATATATAAATACTTCAGATATCAACACTCCAATTCTTATAACTTACGAACTTGGGTAGGGCAAACGAATTGTTCTGAATGATTTTTTTTTTTTGTATTCTTTTAAAATATTAGCTTTGACAAATAGGGATTTATTAATAATAAGTTGACAATAAAATGATTTAACTCTAATTTATTTGATATATCCTTTCTTTTTCCTCTAAAGTTCTGCATCCTACCTAATGAAGACCAGCTCCTAGATTAGAGGCCAATTTGGCGCTGCTCCAAGAACTCAGCCACAGCTAACTTGATACCGAAATATATTACTAAAACTGCCTCTGCTCTAAATGGCTAATTTAATTCAAAATGGCACTAATGGATTTCTATGTTTTAAGAGAAAATTATTTAAACGGCTCTGCTTATGCCAACACTTTGAAAAGAGTCTTCTCCAAAACCATGGTTTTTTATTATTGATGATTTTTACAATAATTGGAAACTAGATAAATCTGTCTTGTCAATGTATTATAGTCCCTAATAATAAAAAGAACAAAACTTGCTCTCTATCCACAGTGATATCATTAATAAAAAATATTAGATAACCTAGGAATATACATCAACCAAATTATGTCTTCAGAACTACGTGCATTGAGTATGCTGTGACTGTGCCTTAAGAGAGTTTTAAACAAATCTTGCCAATTGTTTGCCTATTTCGACGATTTCTGCAAACAGCATCCGTTAAAATTTGATTGTAGGTGAACGAATCCAAAACAAAGTATATGTTCCGCAATCTTTAAAAAGGAGAATATCTAAGAGCGAAAGAAAAAATCGGAGACTTCAACATGGAATGTGTCGAAGAATTTATTTACCTAAGGACACTATTGAACTCAACCAATAATATGCATTCAGAGATTTGGTGGTGGATTATGGCAGCTAATAGATGTTATTATGGGCTCCAGAGGCGTTTAAAAAGCAAATAGGATCTCTAAGATAGGTATTTCTATGATCTTATCGAGTGTATTGTGCAATGTGTATTGAAGGGTGTTCTGTACAGAGAGTATATGAGTATAGTTACTAGAATGACTCGACAGAGCGTTTTCAATATACAGGGGTAATATGCCTCAGTGGATGGAGGAAGATGAATAAAAGGATGACCATAAGTGTCAGGCGGATCAGCACCCGAACCACTCTTGGTCTGCGGTGCAAGGGATCAACCTTAACACTCCGCAAGAATGATAGCCACAAACGCAAGGATCAATCTCCAGAGTTTGTGGGAGGATGAAATACTAACCGAGTGATCAATCTGCTGACTTAGTAATAAGGTATACAAGTGGACGGATCAGCATCCAGACCTGCATGGAGTAAGAGAAGAGGATAAAACGTAACTAGATATAGTGGATTTAAAAGAAGTTTGCTGAAGACCAAAAAGCGTATATGGATCAATTACGTAGAGGTCTACACCCCGAAGGGATGCAGATCCGAGGACATAACATTTCATCAGAAGGACTGCGGTAATCATTCCGCCAAGACTAATTTGGCTATCAAGAGCCGTTACAATTACAGTTATTCTTAAGCTTTGGTCAGTATATGTTATCGCCATTATTAAAAATATTTGCAATATATATACATATTTCAATTTACAATTTGAGGGTTTTATAATATAACAATAAGAAACAGAAACACAATTTTAGGATTTTAGGTACATCGCAAATGGCCATGCCTGGCGGCGAGTAGGTGAACTACTTGTCCATTATATAGTAAGAGGCGGAAATCGGCTGCCTCCACAATCTTAATCAGGCTCGTCCTCAACTATTCAACGATGAAGAAAGCAATAGAATCATCTCGTTTGAGATTCAGAAGAATTATGGGGCCTGTGTGTATCAAACCGAGGGGGGGAGTAGGATGAGCAAACTACGTCTATTTAATTTTAAGTACTATAAACTCATGAATACCCATTTGCTTTCAACTTAAATTGTAAGAAATATTATCACAAAGTTAAAAAACAAAAAAGTAGCGTACAAAAATATTGTGCCGTTTGGCTTATATAATCTCGTTATTTTAACGTTATGGGGGTGGAAGTCACGCCAAACAGACCAATATTTTTGTAGGCCATTTTTTTTTTCGACTTTGTGATGATATCATCTTAGGAATCAAGTGCAAAGCAAATGGGTATTCATGAGTTTTTTGTACCTAATTAAATAGACACAGTTCGCCAATTTCTAGATTGAAAACGTCCCAATTCTGAGAATTTTCGTAAATAAATTATTTGTAGGATACAATTAGATGAAGTTATTTACGGATGTTAATAATTTTATAAAAAGGATTCTGTGTCACGGAATAATTATGACGCGGATATCTTGGCCCAGTATAGTAGTTTAGAATTATGATGGGCTCAGCTTTTTAAAACCTTAAAATGTACCAATTTTGAGATAACACATGGGCTCAACCTTCTACAAGCGATAGTGAATCTTGATGTGACGATTACCATGGATTCCTAATCACATACAAATTAAAAATTTCTTAATGAATTCAAAGGTGTTGCCAATGACCCTACAGGGTAGAGGCAACAAAAAAAAATCAAATAAATAAATCAAATAATGAATTCATTATCAAATCCAATGATTGCGCTATCGTATTAAAGGCTATCTTAGCCTTCAGGTTTTTTATTTATCACTAAATACACAAACCCACATACATCCACTTAATTCAGTTTATTTTCAAATTTTCGTAACCTAAATAATTAAGAATTAATCGATAGATTAATAAATCTCGAGCAAAAACGTTTCGAGGCCGAAGATAGTTCACGGATGACTCATGCGGCCTAAAAGCCGCATATTCCCTAACTATGGTAAAGCCCATATGAGGGGAACCGCGGCTCGGAGGCCGCATGTGGCCTCTGAAGCAATTAATTAATATTCTTTTCACCGCAGATATTCCTGCCCATCCTGATGCCCTCCTGGCAACATTCTTTTATGATACCGCTATCCTTTCAACCAAATGAGATCCAACTCAGCGTCATTAAACCTACAAATGCACCTCTCCCAGATTGAGCACTGGTGTAAGAAATGGCGCATTAAGATAAACGAATTTAAATGTAAACACAAATCCTGTCCACCAGTTTATTTTAACACCATCCAGCTCCCTTTCTCAGATACATTCAGCCAGCTTGGCTTTCTCTTAGACCGACGAATAACCTGGAACCCTCATACTAGACTTAAAAGACAGGAACTAAACCGACGATACGGCCAACTATACCGACTACTAAACAAAAAATCTAAACTTTCCATTGAAAACAAGTTACTGATCTACAAGACAATACTGAAACTTATTTGGACTTATGGACTAGAACTGTGGGGAACAGCAAAATTTTCTAACATCAAGTGCATCCAATCCTTCCAGTCAAAAGCCCTTCAAACAATAGTAGATGCTCCTATGTAACCAACAAAACCCTACATCATGACCTCAACATCCCATTTGTCCTAGACCTTATCCCAGGAAAATTCTTCAAATTTCACCAGAACCTTACGTATCATCCAAATCCTCTTTGGAAAATACTGTCAATGGCCAGATTCTCCAATCAAGACATGAGTGTTGCGGCTAATATATAGTTATCTCTCGATCAATCTCCGCTGGAATTAGTAAGAGTGATGCGGTTGAGAGAGTAGGTCATGCATGTGTTTGTTTTTTTTTGCTTAGTTTTAATTTTCTTATTTTTAGGTCATTTTATTTTATTTGTTGTATATACATTTTGATTATTATTTATTGTTATTTTGCTTCTATTTATTTTATATTTTTTGTACATATAGTGTGAATGTTATCCCACCTCACTATAACTAATGTCCATGTGACAGATTGGTGTAATACTCAATAAATATATTTTTTTTAAATTAATAAATACAACTTTTAAAAATTTAATTATTTCAGTAATGACAATTTGGAAATTAATAGAATTATGTTTAATGTATGTATTTGGGTGGGTGTATTTATTGATAAATACGAATGGCAACAAAAAAATATAAAGAATTATTTTGGCTTCCATTAGCCCTGCCTAACCTTGCTGCGTTCTCTTATGATAAAAATTATCCCCACTTACGGTACACCTATGGTATAAAGTATAATCTATAATAATTTGTACATATGTTTTCGTTTATTATTATGAATTAACTATTCTAATTCGACCTAGAAAAAGAAAATTAATTATTTTACCTCATAATGCATGACATTAACCTATTTCTATATTATTTTGTCATTTGTTAAGTTATCACTACATTTTTCAAATTATTCTCCCAGGCCAACTAGTATCATTTATTGCTATCTACTTCACCTTTTCGATTAATCGCCAACAAATGGTATTTTAATAGCAAAATCATATGATAAGAAATATTGGATTGTTGGAATAGTACGAAATGACGAGCGAATCTGATGTTGCTATAACAAATGGCAACTTGGTATCTTCCAGTAAGGTCACCGACGAAGGTCAGAGTACTTCTTCGCCACCTCCGATTCCCGTCAAGTCCTGCAAGTGTTTGGACAAGACTCAGGTGAAGATCATATCCAAGAGGCCTCTCTTGATCACCCTCAGGTGGATATTCCTCTTCCTCTTCTGGACCATCTGGATCATCGTCTTCTCCATGGTCGTCATCATCTTCGCCCTCGCGCCCAGGAAGAAGACAAAGTAATCTAAATATTTATTCAGAACGTTTCATTCTGTAAAACTGTATGATATTCTTCATTATAAACCATTTTTATAACCAATAAGATTATAATACTTACCAATAAATTATAATACTTAATTCATGTTTATTTCTCATTTTTATTTTTCAATATTATAGTATAAGTATTAGTTCACATTAGCTGTTCCAAGATGGCGGACGGTTTCAAGATCACCCAGAGCAAGAGATAAGAAACAGGAGTAGTTTTAAGTAACAGGCATAACTAATCTGGGTTCGAAGAAATACTTATTATAAACACCTGTTACAAAATACTTGTTATTTAAAATGTCAATCGAAGATCTCCATGCATTGGCATACCTAATTCCTTATTAGAGAATTAATTTTTAAAGGCTTAAAAAAACAATTAGTCCGGCAACACGTAGCAAAAAATGTGACTTATAAATTGACCATGTCCTAAGGTCTCATGAGAAAAACGCATGTCTGCTAGCATATATCCGCTGGAATACAAAATGGCAGCTAAGTGAAGATAGATAGAGATCATATGTAGGTAGAAGATTCTATATAGAGAGAGATCTTATAAATATAGAAAGCTACCAAACCTTAAATATATAGTATTAAAAATTATAATAAAATTTAATGTTAAAAAACTTTTATCTTCATGACTTTTTTGTAGAATGAAAAGAGTTAGCGAATAAAATAATGATATAAATCTGAGGCAAAAACAATTATTTTTCAAAATTAGTGAATTACAAGGACGGATGTCTCGGAAATTATAGAAGATAACAAAAAAATAAATATAACCATTTCTGTTGCAATTTTTGTCACCTTTAATTTTACATAGAACATTATTATCGCTAGAACGCACTGTGTTGTGTGTGTGAGAACGTGTATGTGAGAACGAGTCGAGTCTTGGTCTTGCAAACTCAGTCTTGGACATGGCCTTGGTCTTGCAGTTACTTATTAGCTTATTACTATAGAGATATTACTGTAACTTTTTAGATAGGAGAAACCTAACTAAGCCCGAATGAGAAATCATCCATTAGGGTGATGAAATGATCACAACTGATAGATATGGAGAAAATTTATACAGACAAATCTGGTTCTCGCATCACACAACTTTCACTTACTGCTCTACTTTGAATAGGAATTATTGAAGTGAAAACTTCTTTATGCACTTTTTTTTTTTTTTTTTTTTTTTTTTTTTTTTGTGGAGAGTGAATTAGATAAAAGCCGTCAGATTTTTTCTCATGTCTTTATGAACTCTTCATCAAATCCGAAGACTGTGACATCATTTTTAAGTTTATCTTCTCTTTCAGGTGCGGGATATAAGCATATCCCCCAGTTTGATTGATTGCTATTATAAACGAGTGATATTATTCCTTATTATAATTGTATTGTAAAATATTCATATTATAAATTATGTTATAATTATATGAATTTATTTATCAATTCTAAAGTGTCAATTGAAATAATATATATGTATATTTGTTTGCAGATGACTGGAAGCCAACAACATGGAGGAGGCCAACAGAAAAGGCCAACAGTCATCATATATCCAACAGGTAGGAGCAAATAACACTTTGTGCAAAATCTTTGCATACTTGTGTATTAATTTTTTTTGACCTTGTATCACCAACAAAATGTTGGAAATACATAGTCCCCACACCTGTAATCCCCTGGTAAGTAAACTACTATCGGATGAGTCCAGACTTTCTTATTAATAGTTAAAAACTGAGCGAACCCGAAGGTTCGATGCCGTCACCACCAATGGCTGTCTACATACCTCCCTCCACCGGTCGCCATCCAAACCCAACCCCACCAGATCAGCCTTAACTCAATCCTTCCACTTTCGCTTCGGTCTTTCCCTCCGATGTCTGCCAGTCGGCACAGCATATATTAATATTTTAGGGATTCTTTCGTTACTCAACAAAACGTGCAAACTTTTACAAGCTCATTTTATTCGTCGCAATGTAATCACCTCAATTATATTAACCGGGAAAAATCACGCAATTCGGAGTTGTGTAACCCTCTAGATTCTCCGGTTAACTCATCCTTCTTCTGTCCGAATATTCTAAGCATTTCCAAAAATCTTAAAACGTTGCTCATTCCATAATTTCATGACCGAAGATAATTGTATTAAACATTTAACATCAACCTTAAAACATTCCAAAGCTCGATTTCCACAGGGGAAAATATTATCAATCTTGCAACAATACTTCAAGGCAAACCTGTTTATCTAGTAATTTATTTTATATATTTACAATATAAAATAAAATACATTTTTTGTATTTAAGTATGTTGAAAACAAATAACATAAACTTTTTGTTTTGTATTTTAGTAAGAAAATATAGTTACAAACAATCTATTTTATACTTCACTTCTTATAAAATACTAATAATGCATTTTAAAATATTTCATTTGAAATACTGTAATGTTTGCTCAAACATTGAAACTTTGATTAACATTATACTTTTTCTTTCTGTATATGTCATATGTGTGTTTGTGAAAAAAAAAATATATAAATTAGATTTAAGTTTATAATTGGAAAAATTCTAACCACATAGCATTATGACTCCAAAATGCAGGCAGAGTAAAAAATCCACCAACTTTACGTCAATTCAAGCATCGTAAGGAAAGATGATGAGTAGGCTATTGGAGTTCATGGAGTGATGTGAACTTCGATGTTCTATCGCGATGATGTCTGAATTAGCAAAACTTTGACGATTTTATTTTTACTTTCACTTGCGTATATATGTAATATATAGCAAGGGTAAGTATTGCGATCGTGAACATTTTCGAATCTCAGTTTTCAACGGAAATACATGTTTTGAGGTCACCTGAGTCCAAATAACCAAGTGTTGCAAAATGGTCTCTGTGTGTGTTAACAGTCTAGCTCATAAACGAAAAGTAGTAAGAAACTGAGATTAAGTATTTAAGGTTTGTATATGGGCCGGATTTGACAGTAACTTTTTCGTTAAAATCGGCTAACCGGAAGTGCCACTTTATATGAACGCTGAAACACATTTTTACAGTTTTCTCAAAAACGGCTCTAACGATTTTGATTAAACTCGGTGTATCATTGTATAATTAAGTGGTCTTTAATATCATTTAGGTCTTATCCTCATTGATGTCATTTTACAGGGCTTAAATGCCCAATGTTCATACATGTATTCATCTAAAGTACCTTTAATATGGTTTATTTTAAAAAGTTAATCATTTCGCATTATTCAGAGTTACAAAAAAATGCTACATATAACTTTTGAAAGAATTTGATAAGTTAATAACATGAGTTGAAATTTTTTTTCTCCCAAATTAGCAATAATTGAGTGCGGATATCTCGGAAACTAAGTGAGGTAGCGAACACATGTATTTAATCAATCATATTGCAAATTTTATTAGCTTCAATTTTATATAGAACATCTTTCTCGATGCGACGGATTGTTTTTCCGGATATAAGCGAAAATCCGAAAAAAATTTGACCATGTATGCTCCTTCTCCTCCCCTTCCCCACATCTAGCTCATCATGTTGGAGTGGGGACTGTTAGTATGTTTACCTCCTTACTAATATCCCAAAGTCAAAAATTGTGTTCCCGCCATTTCCTTCTATAATCCTATATATTATTTCTAAAAAATTTTTTTTTTTGTCGGTACGCCATCAAATCTTCATCAATCCGATGATTGACTACTCATTTTGAAGATATTCTTCTCCTTCACAGGCAAAAAAAAATAGTTCCATCCCCCCGAAATTTCTGGAAAAAAAAGTTATGGAGGAAAATAAACTTTATTTGTGAATAACTCAAAAAGTATGCATTTTTTTTCTTGATTGTACCCATGATAATTAGAAAGATTACTAAATTACCTACAAAAAAAAATCGTAAAAATCGGACAATTATTAACAATGATACAGTCTATTAGTTTTGGTATACTTAATAATGTCTTCCGATTTAAAGATATTTCATTTAGGAATAGAATAGTCTACTACATTTTTTCCCTGGTGGATATATTAACTTTATTATTTCTTAAAGACATTTGGTTGTTCTTATATATATATATATATCTTTTTTAAGAGTTTAGAATATCCCACGATCGGGGCATTATTTTGTCTTTTATTATCTTTCCAGTCAGCATTTAAAAAAAGGTCCTATTTGTACAAATATTTTGGTCTATTATATTTAATCGAAAATTGTAATCGACTAAGGAAAAATATTAATTCCTTCCTTACTTAATACATAGGAACTACTTATTTCCATATTGTTTTGTTATTTCTTCATTAAACAAAATTGTCTGCGAATTTTTCGCGCGGGCCAACTAGTAATACTATAATACATATTTATTCTGTCTGGACAACTACACATTGTTGAAGAATGACATATGATCAACAGTTACAAATGGGAATAAAAAACATTTATTAAAAATACATATTTAATATAGGACTTCAGGTAATGAAAACGAAACAGCAAGCTCTATCCAGCATATTGGTGTGGTCTAGTGATGATCTCCAAGTTGTGTAAGTTGGCAATGGAATTGGCAACAACGGCAGCGCTCCGCTTCGTGTATCCGCCGCTAGACAGCATCACAATCGGGATATTCCTCTCCTTTGCCTTCATAAAGACCATTTCGTCTCGTCGAACGACCCCTAGCGGGGAGACGGAAAGCTTACCAAGGGGATCGCCGTCTATGATATCCGTCCCCGCGTTGTATACGAGGAGGTCCGGGTAGAAGGAATTCAAGGAGCGTTCCAGGCCGTTTTCGAGCTTATCCAAGTACTCCGTATCTTGAGTATCATTTCGTAGTTCAATCTTGCAACTTATCGCTTTCTTAGCGTATTCGTCGATAGGAAATATACTGCTGTTGTACATATCCATTATGTAAACCATGTGGTTGTTGATGAAGTCCCTCTCGTAGCCGTTTCCCTGATGTGCGTCCAAATCCAAGATCATAACCTTCTTTACGTACGGTCTCGATTTGAGGATGCTCTCGATGGCCAAGGTGATATCTGCGTAGGGACAAAACCCCTGGCCCTTTTCCTTGCTGCAGTGGTGGAAACCACCGCCTATGTTGATGGCCCAACCTCTGTCGAGGGCGAGTTCGGCCGCCATGACGCTTCCTTTGGTCTGATAGCGCATTGGACGCAAGTAACACCGCTGGCATAATATGTTGGGGACACAAGTGAGCAGAGGAACCTCCGCTATCCGCGCCACATTCCAAGACCACTTAAGGCTATTGAGGTATCTTCTCGTGTGCACGCTCAGTAATTCATCCTCACTAGCTTCTGTTGGAACATAAATATTCTTCTCACTAAGGTGTATAAGTTTCTGCAATCGATGGTATATATTGCCCCATTTACCTGAATCGAAAGGGTGCAGCTTTTCGATGCCGTAAAAGCGAACATTGTAATGGTTAGAATAAACTATGGGCCATTTATGGTCGTTGTACATTAATCACTCACGAATGAGTCATTCGGGAATACGCTAAATCTTCAAACCAAATAAATCACATGTATCTAAATTGTAAATTATATAAACGTCTACAATTATATAATACGGTGGTTGGATCCCTTTTCCAAATCTCAGGAGATATGGATTTTGATGAATGAGATATCAAATGAAAGAAAATTTCATGGTGAAGTGACTAATCCCAATTCGAAACGTAAAACACTAATTCTAAAAGTAAAAAAAAAAATAGAAGGCTTAAAAAATCAAATGTTTTTAAAATTCGACGGATTGAATTATGTTTTAAAGGTTTTTAAAAATAAAAAAAAATGTGGTGTGTCCACTCACACGACTTTCCTACCTATTTCAGAAAAGTTTTTATATGTTCAAATATGTCCATTAAGAAATCGAAACAAAGTTGAATTAGATTTATTTTCCCAAAATTGATCAAAGAAAATATTTAAGTACGATTTCTTAGATTATCTAAAGCAATGTAAACCGGCTTGTAGAAGATGAGCGTAAAAAATTCAACACTCTAATATAGTTAATAAAAAACTATTTCACCTTAGCTCAGTTTTGTCAAACAATAATTTCTGTTAAAAGTCGAGAGAAAAGAGTGTGATGCGGACAACAGATTTTCTTACTTTTCTTTCATTCACCGCTTAGACCCGTATTCTTATATACGAAATTGAATAGCTGTAACTTCGTTAATAGTAGTCCGAAATGAACGATTTTTATATAGTTTTGTAGGAATTTCGTTACCTTTCAAATTTGACCCGATCGACTCGATTACCTTCCATAGGTGGAAAAGTAATAAATTAAAATATGTGTAGAAAATAAAATACGATGCATCATCGCTAACACTGGTGCGATTTCTATTTTTTTTTTTTTTTTTTTTTTTGCTTTGTAAGTAATTGAATTACCTTTCAAAAGTTTATATATAAATTTTACCGTGAAATAAATACTTAGTGAGTTAGGCCCAAAACATTTTGCTTTTCTTTATAACTTTTTTCCTCGTTAGAGCCATTTTAGCGGTACAGTCAAGAGAAAAATATGTTTTAACTGATAGCGCATGGAGCAGCCAATTTGTATAACAGGCTTCAATAGTCAAAACGCTACAAAATAAAAAAAAGAAGAAACAAAATAGGTCAACTAGTTCCTTGATAATCATGGCAGACAGACAGGCCAATGGCTGAAAATGTGTTTTTCGGACTGAGGGGGCTCTGAAACGTATAGTCCGTCGAAAACTGCATATCGGAAATTTGACCCGATCGCAATACTTTCCTTACCTAGTATAGGTAAGAAAGTAAAAATATTGCTATTTATGATACTTTCACCTAAATAAAAATCTATTGAAAAGTTAAATGGAGAAGGGTGGTTTTAAGATCCTTAGGTCACCTCATATAATACAGAAAAGTTTTGATATTTTAAATAAATAAATAAAAATGCTAATATATAGCTTTTGAGTTATGATTAATAGAGGCGTGACAAAACTGAGAACAAACCAAAGATCTTTTGGACCAAATTTGTCTTGAGCGAGTACAATGATGGATCAGTATATGTTCTGAGATAGGTGTGCTTTATTGCTTAACTATTAAACCTGATGGATCTTTCCCAGTGGGATTAACAAATCACTCATTTAGTAAATTGTTCCTTTAAAAGAATGGTGAAGAATCAAGATTCACTGATTATGTGTAGAATATTCTTATATAGTAAAATATTACATTGTATATAGGAATAAACATACTCCACTAATGTCCTAAATGCATTAAGATAAAGAATACCTCTCTAATATGAGAGTTTGTACTGGAGCATACTATTTTTAAAAATAATTTATTTCATATAATTTATGAAGTCGAATCAGTCATATTTCTAATACACCATATTGGAACTTATTGTAGATAATGATTTTTTTAATGGACATCACGATCTACAAAGTCTTCATATCATATGCTGGACACCAGTTACCACTTCGTGCTTCAGATGAATACAAATTTAGACTTTGACGATGCCTGTGAAGCTTCTTGGCAACCTTGTGACGACATAGGGTAATTAACTAGTAGCCTACTTCAAAGCCCAACTATCTAATCCTCTTCTACCTCGTTGGCATAAACCAGATAATAACATTCTCCACGCGCTCCTTTTAATGAAACTTTGTACAGTCCGTGGTACAGATCCCTTTTTATCGAATTATTAACATCTGCCATAAACTTCGTAAATAGTTTCATTTTGTCATAACCTACAACTATTTTATTTGCGAAAATTCTTGGAATTGGAGCGTTTTCAATCTGGAAGGGGAAAAACTTTATCCGTTTAATTAGGTACTAAAAACAAGTAAATACCCACTTGATTTCAACTTCGATCGTAAGATAATTTAATCACAAAATCGATAAAAAAAAGTGGCCTACAAAAATATTGGGCTGTTTGTCCTATATGACCTCCTTATTTTCACAATTTGGCGGTGTAGGTCACGCCAAACAGCTCAATATTTTTGAAGGCCTTTTCTCGATTTTGTGCTAACATTATCTTACGATTCTGGTGGAAAGCAAATTGGTATTTACGAGTTTTTTTTACAAGTAGCTAATTAAATATACAAAGTTTGCCCTTCTCCAGATGGAAACCGCCCCAATTCGGAGAATTCTCGTAAATAAAATATTTGTAGGTTACGATAAGATGAAGTTATTTACGGAGTTTCAGGCGGATGTTAATAATTTGATAAAAAGGGGTCTGTACCTTTTTTTTTGTGTGTTCTTCCCTACCTCGCCGTTTAGGCTATACGGGATTTTTCCGGACCAGAGGGTGAGGGCGGAGAATTTAAAATCCCCTCTGGCACCAGGACGCGAATTCGTACTTTTCTTGTCTCTCAAATCTTCATATATCCGGTTGCCGGGCAACTCGCGTTGCTGTGCACTCGCTTTAGCCCATGCGGCCACGCCGCCCCCTTAAAGGGGTCTGTACCACGGACTATAATTTTATAATTGTACATTACCTATAAATAGATCTCGGATTATATAAACTTTAAATTTAAATCTTTATAAACTTCCCGTGGGGACCAGTCGTACTGGAAGAAGGAACTAAAAACTTTTGGTGCATACAACTTCCTACAGTGTAGATGCAATCGAGACTATAATTAATATTTCTTGACCAAAAAATAAATAAAATAATCTTTGACAATTATTAGTAAACACTTTTTATATTTCATTATTTTTGACTATTCGCTTTTCTAAGGGAAGTGGAAATACCAGAAACAGCATTTATGTATATTATTTATATTTTTTACTATACATATTTTTATTTCTACCAGTTCCAGAAGAGAACCGACTTATTCGAAATATAATAATTAAATATTTAATGCGGAGCAAGGATAGAAACCACAGCTCCTCTAGTTGTGATATACTAGATTAAATTATATTTTAGGTTTCTTTTCTAAAGATATCCTGTAACCAATTTACTTATTGATATTTGTATATCTTTTTGATGGTATTCAGGGAAAAATACTACAAACCAAATTCTAATCTTAAAAAAAGACTATATGTTTTGTACACCATCAAACAGCTCTTTTTCAAAATGCTATAAACTTACAGAAGACAATATTTCGGTTATCGAAGTAGTAAATTAATTTAATTTGCTGATAACCGAGATTTAACATTTTCCTTATCAATATATTAATAGCGATACCTCATTAAGAAGATCATTTGACAAATGATTAAAACGCGGGACGTCTAGACACCTTACGCTGACGTCCTCTTGAGCCTTTTCAACTGCCTCTTTTCTTTCCAGCGATAAAGTTCTTCCTTTCTTGCTAGATATTGTTTCCAACTTATCTTAAGGCGGAATCCCAATGCGACAAATTTTAGGCAACATGCCGTCAATGCCGCATGCTACACACGGTCTTTCCATAGAAATAGAATAGAAAGCGACAAAAAATATGTCTCCTTGCCGCATGCTACAAGTTGACCGTTGTTGCCTATCGAATGCGTCATCTCTTCACATGATTCATCTTGTCGAACAGTGTCGTTATCTATCCAACAGCCCTTGGATCAGGATCAGTACGGTGTAGCATTATGCGGGCAACACAGAATGGAAGGACGAAAAAAAAAACTACGTATTTTACAGACGATTACCATGATTCTTCCGAATTATGGAATAATAAGATCGCCGAATACAAAGATATAAGAATTAAAAACGATAAGTAAAAAAAATTATCGGATAAATATAACCATTGTAAAGTGATGCAGGTAAAAATAAAAGGTTTATTCATTAATAGTAAATTTATTTAAATAGAAAGAGGTAAAAAATAATTAAGAATTTGTCAGTATTTCATCGCGAGCGCAAAAAACTTCAGCAAGAAAAGAATGACTCATCTTGTAGAGTTAATGCATGTTATCTGGCAGTACCGCTGAGCCATTGTAAACAAAGCAGGTTGGCTTGGCTGAGGTTACTCAGAGAGCAGTAGACCTTTGTTCCTGATAGTGTGATGTTTATGTAGAGGAATAAAGGTGTTTTGTGTATTCCTGACATCACATATCTCCTAGCAAAAACGGGAAATGGTTTGTTTATAAGCTACTGAATTTTTTATTGGACATCGATGTACCCAAAGCAATATTGTCAACTGCTGAGTGTTTAGGCGATGACACGATGATGAAAATCAGTGATGACACAAAATACACTTGCTAGCAACCCAAATAGTCCGAGAACCCACGAGAAAAAGTGTACATTATTTGATGAATACTTTAAAACCATTATTTTAAATATTTATATCTTTATTTTTTAAAATGAGAGTTTGCCAGTCAGATCTTACTTCCTGTATAAATAGCGACTGACTTAATGAATTTGAGGCTAGTAACTTGAGGATCGAAACGGGAAATTCATTGTGAAAAATATGAAAAAAGCTTTTATTTATTCAACTTGTATATATTAGTTGACATGTAAAAAAAAAAAATCCTGACGCTGGCCACCAAGGAAAAACAGCCAAAAATCCAGATCATTTCGATCTTTTTTTGTTTTTCCACCTATAGTTTCTAAACGGTGCCACAAAACTAAAAACATTTTCTTTCATAAATTAAATAAAGTTAAATTATGCGTAGTATGAGTTGCGTATGAGTACCTAAAATTAATAATTTGGTTAAGTGGTATGCTTG